ATGGGCTTTTCGTTTTAGATAGCTCACACGCGTATCAGCTGCGAACCTTTCCCTAGAGCATTATACATCAGTTTCAGAGAATGCCAACGTAAAAACCTCTACCGAAAATGGCAACCTTCTCGTCTCCACATCGTCTACGCTGAAACACCCATCGCCGTGGCTGCACCTGACTATTCTACCTGTATACAACACAAACAGGAGACAGGACAGGACGCAGTCTTGGCTGAGACCAGTGCGAACGTTGAATGGTTTCGACATAACGCCATTTACTCTGACCCATCACCTTCTATCAGAATACAGTGATTAGATGGCTCTCAGCAACTGGTCCGCAATCCGGCATGCTCGAAGGCATGACCACAGACTGTTGTGTGGTAACCGGCCATAGGCTTTTTCTAGGTCAACAAAACACGTGTGCACTGGACGGGCGTACTCCCACGAGTTCTCAACAATCTCGCGGAGGACAAATATATTATCAGAGCTGCTTCGACCATGCCGGAAGCCACGCTGCTTTTCTTGTATCTTGAGATCAGTTGTTCGGCGGAACCTCTTTTCTAGCTCTTTTGCGTAAACTTTGCCTGAGAGGTTCATTTACGTAATGAATCTATAATTGGAACACTCCCTGTGGTCTTCCGTTTCGAATAGGGGTATAACCCCACCCACGTTCTCCAGTCGGCTGGTGTCTTTCCTTTTGCTATTACAGTTTGACAGACACTTCTAAGACATCACATGCCTTATTCACCTATTGCTTTGAGAATTTCAGGGTACATTTCATCAATTCAACGATTCTTTTCACATTTCAAGCTTTACACAACTTGTGTAATTCCATCTCTAGAAATAGCAATATCGGTTTTCTGATGCACGTTTGCCCAGGCTTAACGATTTCCTCAGCGTACCCGATCCTTCGATGAGGAATGTCCTCATTGTTGGTAAAAGGCTTAGACCTGACCTTCAGGGCTCTTAGACTGCCCTTCTTTTCACCTCGAAGCCGGCAGATGGTCTGCCGGAACACCTTATCTGCCGTCGGAAAATTCGGCCCCAACACCTCCCCTAACTTCTCCGAGGAATCAACTTTGGCTTTTGCCACTGCTTTGGCTGCCGTATAGCGTGCCTCGACATATCACACGCGAGTAAAAAGCTCCTTGTTTCCAAGTCATTTCTTGAAAGCTGCTTTCTTCTCTTTGACTGCCAGTTGTACCTCTCGTGTCCACCATGAAGATCTTTTCTGACCTCCTGG